AAAGCCCATGGTCTCTTCCATTTAAGTCCTGCCTAATATTTGTTATAGATCTAGTAACTCCACTTGAAATCATCAACATGCCTGAATTCATATTAAATGTAAAACACTGGCCTTGTTAAGTGGAGTCCAGGAATGGCCCTCTCCATGAAGGGGCCTGCTGCCCTGAATCACAAGCAGTTAGGATATCCCCAAAGAAAAGCCTAGCTTTCCACCCAGTTCCTTTCCTTCTAGAAGGTTTGGTTTGGGGTCATAGATAGCAACTGGGGAATGTGTTAAAATGAAGCACGGGAAGTTCTCAGTCATTAGACTTTCACCTTTTGGGAATTAGAACACCACAAATATTTTCTCACATAAATCATCACCTGGTCCCAGCTCTGCTACCACGGAGGGGTTTTCCTTAGCAATATGTGACTGCCCTACCCAGCTAAGTGTGACTCTGAAAATATCTACCAAGTCATTCCATCCTCCCAACTCTTTTCTGTCCCTAACCTGTATTGTGAGGATGACACAGAGAAGAGTCAGTATCAACACCCTGATACAAAGATATAGTAGTGGTGACTTCTCATGGTTTTTGGCTTTTTTTTTTTTGGATGTGTTGGCTCTTCGTTGTTGCGCGCGGGCTTTCTCTAGCTGCGAGGAGCAGGGGCTACTCCTTGTTGCGGAGCATGGGCTCTAGGTGCGCAGGCTTCAGTAGTTGTGGCGTGCAGGCTCTACAGCGCAGGCTCAGTAGTTGTGGCGCACGGGCTTAGTTGCTCCACAGCATGTGGGATCTTCCCGGGCCAGGGCTCGAACCCTTGTCCCCTGCATTGGCAGGTGGATTCTTAACCACTGCACCACCAGGTAGGCCCAGGTTAATATTTTAATAAAACATGAGGGGCTTCCCTGGTGGCGCAGTGGTTAAGAATCCGCCTGCCAATGCAGGGGACAAGGGTTCGATCCCTGGCCCGGGAAGATCCCACATGCCGTGGAGCAACTAAGTCCGTGCGCCACAACTACTGAGCCTGAGCCTGCACTCTAGGGCCCATGAGACACAACTACTGAACCTGAGGGCCACAACTACTGAAGCCCGCGCACCTAGAGCCCGTGCTCTGCAACAAGAGAAGCCACCGCAATGAGAAGCCTGCGCACCGCAACAAAGAGTAGCCCCTGCTCGCCGCAACTAGAGAAAGCCCGTGCGCAGCAACGAAGACCCAACACAGCCAAAAATAAAAACAAATTAATTAAAATATTAACCTACCAAAACCTGGTGCTAATCTGGTGCTTTGCAAATTACCTGGACCCTCATGTTGACCTATTCATTAGTTCCATAGAAAACTATAGTTTTCTTTAAAGAAAAATGACTACTCAGCAAAAAAATACCAAAGTGACAGCTTACTAGAGAGTACTCTAAATGATTTTAATGAAGTATAATAGAACACAAAATTGCCTTGCTGGTTCTGAAACGGAGCAGGACCCTATGGTCCTTCCCTACCACGTCCTCCGCCTGACTTTTGTGTGTGGAAAAACTTCAGCTAAAGAATTAGTTATCAGAGAAGCGAGAAAATGCAGAAACAAAGGAAAACAGTCCAACAAGACTAAATAATAGTAGTTTAGTCATTAAGCATGGTTAAGGACCTTTAGTTCCTCCTCAAGGGCTGTAGATAGTATTCTGAGCCATCTCCTGTGAGCTGTCTTGTAGATACTGAAATACCCACCTGATGAAAGAAGTTAACTACATGGTGATCTTACTGTAGCCATGACATAAGCTGCCACAAGTCTGTGAATTGGCCTCAAAGAAATGAAAACAAACCGACCCTGGAACCGAAGACTAACTGTACCTAAAACAGTCAGGATGACGCTGGTCAGACCACCGATGACCAACTTCAAGATGCCTGTCAGAGCTGACTGCACAGTTTCTGCATGTAGCCCCCTCCCTCCGTCTATAAAAGCTCTTGCCCCCTGATTGTCACGGGGGGAGTCGGTCTTTGGACAGGCGTCCGCCCTCTCCCCCGGTTGCCGGCATCCAAAACAAAGCAAACTTTCCTTTCCACCAACCTGGCCTCTTTAATGGCTTTTGAATGGCAAGCAGTCGGACCCCACTCTCGGTTACAGTTCTATAGAGGCAGACCCCTTGTTAGGGCACTGTGCCCCTTCTGAGGGTCAAGGTAAGATCCCCTCAGAGTAAAAGCATCCCAGGCCTCACTGGCTCAACTCCAGAGGGTGGAAGGATGGTGAAGGGGAGGAGGGATGGTGGTGAGCTTGTCTTGGTCAACTCTGCACCAAAATCTCTGCCCACAGTTTGGTCTGTGGCAGTTTCTAGATAAAATACATAAATAAGAATTCAAGCCAGAATGTCTTGCTTTGACAAACTTTCTAGCACTGAGTAAAAACCATCAATTAATTGAAATGGCAATGATTAGTCTCCTCTTACTACAAGAGTCAAGTTTGGAAAAAAACACTTGCTGTCACTGAGTGATGCACCAAAGAGTTTCCCTTAAAACAACTTTGGACCCTATAGATGGATGAAAGGAAGCCCTTTGTATGAAACTCAACTGACTTTGCCCAGAAGATAAAAGGAAACAGGACTTCCAAAAACCTGCAAAATACCTACAGCTTCTGCATGACAAAAATTCAGCACAAGTATAAACTTTACCTTTTTAAATTTCACCTTGCCTCAAACCCCCAAAAAAGAAGAATCGTAGAAGGAACTGGTAATGTAAACCTCAAATCCTAGGTTTGTCTTAAATATCAAGTAAACATTGAACTCTTTTCTTTGGATAAAGAGAGACAAGAATTTGATATTCTCATTAGGCAAGTTAGCGATAGCACTGTAAAAAAACACTTGAGGGCTTCCCTGGTGGCGCAGTGGTTGAGAGTCCGTCTGCCGATGCAGGGGACACGGGTTCGTGCCCCGGTCCGGGAAGGTCCCACATGCCGCGGAGCAGCTGGGCCTGTGAGCCACGGCCGCTGAGCCTGCGCGTCCGGGGCCTGTGCTCCGCAATGGGAGAGGCCACAGTGGTGAGAGGCCCGCGTACCGCAAAAAGAAAAACCACTTGATCTTTATACCTACATTACATCACTGTTTATAGTATTTCTAATGTCTAATCTAAAATAAACAGTGCTGCTGTTACTATCAAAGTGATCATCAATGACACACAGAGTGGAACCAATGTGAAAGGTTCAGCTGGGATACCCCCTGACAATTGTAGGATGTGGGTCCTCCCTTCTCCAAATTCCTAATTTCTTGATCATCTAGGAAGGATTCACTGCCCCAGGCCAAGGGTCAGTAGCAAAACAGGTACAACCAGGGCACGGCCTGAGGATGCTGCCAAAAGGAAAGTCATCTGTGTGTGCCCATGTCAATTCTGAGACCCTGTAAACAGCCCAGCTTTGGGGGAGCCCGTTTTTTTGATATATGGGGCAGTGGGGTGGAGGAAATCTCAAGATTAAGGACCACTTTCTTTTGCCAAGAAATTCATTCCTATCGCATGGAGTAAAACTGTATTCTAGAGCCATTAATAAGCCCTGTTGGGGGAGAGGGTGGTGGCCTGAAATTACAGACTGCAAAGTACACAGTGCCCAAGGGGGAAGGAGCTACAGAGCCCTCCCCCGAGCAGGGCAGGAGAAGAACAGGGGAATGGAGCAACTACTGGCCACTCTCCCTCACCGTGGCTGTACTAAATAAACAACTGTTGAACACAGATCACCACTGCAGTGGCTCGTAACTGCCACTGATGGAGCAGCTACCACGTGCCACCCGCCGTGCCAGGCGTTTGATACACCCTATCTCATTTAACCTCACGACAGAGCTCTTTTTATCCCCATTTTACGAGAAACAAAACAGGGGTTCAGAGAAATCACATATAACACGCCCATGGTCACGCATCACAGAAGTGACAGAATCTGGATTGGGGCGCAGATTTGATGGGCTCCAAAGCTTGAACTTGAATTTCTTCATTACACAAAAACACAATCTACTCTTCTTAGACCCTTTGGAAGCCCTCTCTTCTCCTAGGCTGTCATTTGTTTTAAATCCACATTTCTTATCTGCAGTAAAAGTCTGTGTCTCGTCCAGTGGCCCCACTTGCTGAGATTAGAGCTATCTGTCCCCAGGGTGAGAACAGGATAAATCCTGTGCACTCCTAATATCCAAGGTAGGGTTACTGTTCCCTGGATGTGGGAAATCTCAGATACGCGGCTTTTAGGAGCGACAAACCCGACCCTGTGGCAAGCACAGCTGGCTTCATCCTTAAAGCAGAAAACCCAGTAGTTAAGGCCATGGGTTTACTGGCTTCCTGCAACTTAATTTTAAAGGCCAACAATGGAGGCATTTCCCAGAAAGCAGAACTGAAGAGGCATCGTGATCTGGCAATCCTTCTGTTTTTCACAATATGCCAAAAGACTCTATGCATATCTGAGGCCGCGTATCTGTTCTGAACACACTGTTCAGGCCACCCTGCCAAGCCTTGTCTCATTTCCCTTCTTTGCGTTTCAGGAAGCTGGAGGGAGGTCCGCTACCCCCTCCCCAGGGTCACGCAAGACGCTGGGAGCAGCCGGATCCGTCTTCAGGCTGTACTCCATCAAGGCCCCTGCCGGCCTTTCCACCTTCTCTTGGCAGCCACACTTTGGTCATTGTTGCTCAACGCTGAACGCACGGTGGAATCAGCTGGGGATACAGAGGCCTGGGTCCCACCCCCAGGGATTCTGATAGATCCAGCCTGGGCATCTGAATTTTACAAACGCCCCAGGTGATTCTAAGATACAAGCAGGATTGAGAAGCTCTGCCTGGACCACCGTGGGATAAACGATTCCCCTGACACTGAAGTTCATGCCCCCGAACTTTCGTGGCATACCACAAACTCCCGGGTTTCTCCGCCTTGCTCCACCCGGGGCTCTTACTAGAGCAGCTTTGAATCCCGTCCGCTCGCAGGATGACACCTCCCTACTCCTCCTCCCTCGCAGCGCCCAGGACCCCAGAAAACTTGTGCCCCGCGCGACCCACCCCCGTCGCTGGGACTTACTTGGTCGCTAGGTGTGCAGACCTCGCAGCAGCAGGGAGCAGCAGACCTCGCAGGGAGCGAGAGCCTGATGCGCCGGGAGGGCGCGAGCGGGAACACTGAGACTGGGGAGTGCCGGGCCGGGAGCGCGCGGCGCCCGCAGCTTCACCAGGACCGGGGAGGAGCAGCCGCGGCACCGGCTGGGAACGGGAACTGGCCCGACCGCAGCGAAGGCCGCGCCCCTGTGGCCGCGCCCCGAGCCTCTGCGGCCTGCGCGGGGAAGGCGAGGCCGGGCCCGGGCAAGCGAGTCGGGGTCGGCGGGGCGGCCGCTCGCCCGGACCGGGCGGGGGAAGCCGGGAGAGGCGGCGCGCAGAGAGTAGCCCGGGGCAGCCGAGAGGGGCGGTCCCTGCCCCAGCAGAGCAGCCAGGCCACCGCTCAGGCCGAGCGGGCAGGCCTGAGAGCTCGCCCAGGGGTGACACATCGCGAACTAGACGCCAGCTCGGTCTTCGCCTCCGCGAGCCTAGGCCCGTCCCCCTAAATGAGCCAACCGGAGGCAGCAGCACCTGAGCAAGACGGTGAAACGCCTGTTAAAACGTTAACAAGTGCTCCCGGGTGAAACTCGCGTTAAAACGTGACACGTGCTCCCCGGTGAAAAGTAGCTCAAAATCATCAAGCCTTTTACGACAGAGCATATACTTCGATTTATACTTTTTAAAATGTAAGCTTTTCTTCATGTCCTTAAATCTCTTCTTGGCAGTGTACATTTTATAGTCTATACATTATGCTGTGAAGACCTGTAAGGGACTTTTTAACATGCTAATACCTTTCGCAATAAAATGTTTTTTAAACGTTTTAAATGGAGAATCTACATAAGGCATAACGATGCTATAAATAAGTTGTCACATTCACACTAGAGTACATTCAATCACATGACCACATATGCTCATGAATATTTAGATTACCATCAAAGCCTGCCTTCTGATAAAAGTTTGTTCCTAACTCAAAAGCGAAACTTTGCAAACGTAAACTTGATGAGCTACCTTGTGCAAACTTGTAAGCTCCAATATAGAGATGCTAAAGATACCAATTCCTCCAGTTTATACCCTTACATGAACCTCTGGTAGAAAAATTACAAAATTTTTCTTTTCTCTAGGATTCTGGATTTTATCTTCCATATCTTTTACACTCTCATATTTTCCATATCCTGTTTCTCTGGCTGCATTCTGAATAACTTCTCAGTTGTCTTTCCATTAATCAATTATTTTGTGGCTATTCCAACCCCGCTGTGTTACTCATCTGTGTTAGGCGGAATACTCCCTACACCTGGAACCTGTGAATATGGCAAAGGAGAATTAAAGTAGCAGGTGGAATTAAGGGTGCAAATCAGCTGACCTTGAGATGGGAAGATAATCATGGACAATTGGTATGGGCCCGATGTAATCACAAGGGTCCTTATAAATGGAAGAGGGAGGAAGAAGAAGGAGAACTAAAGAGATAGCAGCTTGAGAAGGATTTGGCCTGATGTTGCTGGTTTTGAAGGTGGAGGAATGGGGCTATGAGCCAAGAAATGAGGGTGGCTTCTAGAAGCTGGAAAAGGCAAGGAAGTGGGTTCTCCAGTAGAGCCTCCAGAAGTAATGCAGTCCTGCTAACACTTTGATTTTAGCCCATTGAGACTCACTTTAGACTACTGGCCTCCAGAACCATAAGATAATAAATGTGTGTTGTTTTAAGCCACTAACTTTGTGGTAACTCGTTACAGCAGCAATAGGAAACCAATACACCATCCATTTAAGTTCTTAATTTCAACAATAATATATTTTCTAAGAGTGTTTTCGTTCTATTTCTAATTTTCTTGGTCATTTTTAATAGTCTCCTGTTCTCTACTGATTCCATCACTTAAAAAATTCATATAGTTATTTTTGTTTTTAATTAAACTTTTTATTTGGGATAATTGTAAATTCACATGCAGCTGTAAGAAATAATGCAGAGAGACCCTTATACCCTTAACCCAATTTCCCCTCATGGTAACATCTTGCAGAACCAGGCTGTAGGCATTGGTACAGTCAAAATACAGAACACTTCCACCACTACAACGATCCCTCATGTTGCCCTGTTATATCATACCACTCCCTCCTTAACCCCTGACAATCACTAATCTGTTCCCCGTTTCTATAATATGTCATTTCAAGAACATTATATAAATGGAAGCACACGGTATGTATTGGGATTTTGTGATCTTGTTTTGGGATTGTTTTGTTCACTCGGCATAATTCTCTGGAGATTCATCTAGGGCATTGCATGTATCAATAGTTCTTTCTTTTTTATTACTGAGTAGTATTTCATGGTATTACCACAGGGATACCACAGTTTAACCATTCACATGTTAAACAACATTTGGATTATTTCCCATTTTTGGCTATTATGACTAAAGCTGCTATAGACATTAAACTACAGGTTTATATGCAAACATAAGTTTTCATTTCCCTGGGATAAATGTCCAGGAGTGCAACTGATAGGTCATATGGTGGTTGCATGTTTAGTTTAAGAAACAGCCAAACTCTTTTCCACAGTGGCTGGACCATTTACATTCCCAACAGCAATGTCTAAGTGATCCCAGTTTCGCAACACCTTCGTCAGCATTTGGTGCTGTCACAATGTTTTATTTTAGCCATTCTGATAGGTGTGTAGTGTATCATTATAGTTTTAATTTGCTAATGATGCTGAACACTTTTTTATGTGCCTATTTGCCATCTGTGTCTCCTCTTGGGTGGAATGTCTCTTTGTCTTATTCATTTATTAACTCGATTGTTTGCTTTTTTCCTGTTGAGTTTTGAAAGTTCTTTATGTATTGTAGATAACAGCCCTTTGTTAGATATGTGATTTGCAAATATTTTGTCCCACTCCAAGCTTGTCTTTTCATTCTCCCAATAGGATCTTTCACAGAGCAAACATTTTAAATTTTGATGCTCCCTAGCTTATCAGTTTTTCCTTGTATGGATCATGCTTTTGGTATTCAGTCTAAGAACTCTTTGAAACACCCAGATGTTAAAGAATTTCTCCTTTCTTTCCCCAAAAGTTCAGTTTTATGTCAGACATTTGAGTTAATTTTGAGTTAATTTTGAAATGAGACTTGAGTTAAGGTTAATTTTATTATAATTGTTACTTTTGCCTATGGATGTCCAATTGCTGCTACAGAATCACCATTGAAAAGCTATCTTTCCTCCATTAAATTACCTCTCCACCTTTGTGTGGGTCTATTTCTGGGTTCTCCATTCTGTTCCATTGATCTGTGTGTTTATCCCTCTGCCAATACCATACAATCTTGAATTGGGTCGATGGATTCCTACCATTTTATTCTTTTTTTTTCAAAGTTGCTTTACCTATTCTAATTCCTTTGCCTTTCCATATAAATTTTAGAAAAATAATCTTGCTGGGATTTTGATAGGAATTGTGTTAAACCTGTATTGGAGAGAATTGACATCTTTATTATATTAAGCCTTCCAAACCATGAACATGGTATGCTTCTCCATTTATTTAGATCTTTGATTTCTTTCATCAGTGTTTTGTAGTTTTCAGTATACAAGTCTTACACATGTTTGGTTAAGTTTGCACTTAAGTATTTCCTTTTAAAAAAGTGTATATGTTGTTGGTAAGAATGTAAAGTTGTTCAGCCAACGCGGGAAACAGTTTGGCAGTTCCTCAAAAAGTTAAACATAGAATTACCATATGACCCAGCAATTCCACTGCTAGGTATAAACCCAAAATAAGTGACAAGAGGTACTGAAAAATATATATGTACACACATGTTCATAGCAGCATTATTCACAATAGTCAAAAGGTGAAAACAGTCCAAATATCCATCAATGGATGGATAAACAAATCGTTATACACATACGATAGAATATTATACAGCCACGAAAAAGAATGAAGTGTTAATACATGCTACAGTGTTGATAAGCCTCAAAGATATTATGCTAAGTGAAAGAAGTCAGACATAAAAGGTCACATATTTTATGAGTCCTTTAATATGAAATAACCAGAATAGGTAAATTCATAGGGACAGAAAGTAGATTGGTGTTTGCCAGGGAATGGGGGTGGGGGAGGGAAGAATGGATATGTGGTTCCTTTTGGGGTGATGGAAATGTTTTGGAAGTAAATAGTGATGGTGGTTGGACAACATTGTGAGTGTATTAAATGCTACTGAGTCGTTCACTTTCCAATGGTTAATTTTATGTATTGAATTTCATCACAATTAAAAAGTTACAGTTAAAAAAAAGCAATTGTAAATGGTATTATATTTTTAATTTCCGTGTCCAAGTATATAGAATACAATTGATTTTTGTATGTTTATCTTGTAACCTGTGACCTTGCTGAACTGACTTCTTGGTTCTAAGGGATACTTTTTTATAGATTCCTAGGGGTTTTCTACATAGATAATCATGTCATCTGTACATACTGTTTCATTTATTTCTTTCCCATCTGTATGCCTTTCATTTCCCTTTCTTGCCTCACTACACTGGTTAGAACTTCCAGTACTATGTTGAATAAGAATAGTGAGAGCAGACATCCTTGCCTTGTCCCCAGTTTTAAGGGAAAAGCATTCAGTCTTTTACTATTAAGTATAATGTTAGCTGTACATATTTTATAGATGCTCTTTATCAAGTTGTTGATGTTCCCTTCTGTTCCTATTTTTCTGAGGAATTTTTTTATCATAAATGGGTATTGAATTGTGCCAAACGCTTTTATGCATCTACTGACGTGATCACATGATTTGTAATAATAGTTAAAATACAGTGGATTACTTTGATTGATGTTCAAGTATTGAACCAGACTTGCAGCTCTGGAATAACCCGCCTTGGTCATGGTATAGAATTCTTTTTATGTATTGCTAAATTCTATTTGCTAGTATTTTTTTTTAAGAATCTTTGAATCAATATTCATAAGGGATATTGGTCTGCAGGCTTATTTTTGTTTGGTTGGTTTTTTCTACTGTGCCTGGTTTTGGTATACTGACTTCAGTAGCTTCACAAAATGAACTGGTAAGGGTTACCATAATACCCCCTGTCTCTGGTAATTTTCTTTGCCCTGAAATCTACTCTATCAAATATTAATAAAGCCACTCATTCTTTCCTTTGATTAATGTTTGCATCATATATCTTTTTCTATCCTTTTATTTTCAAGCTGCTTATATTGTTATAGTTGAAGTGAGTTTCTTGTAGACAGCATAAATAAGGCTGGGTCATGTTTTTAATCCGCTCCACCAGTTTCTGTGTTTTAATTGGTGTCTTGAGATCATTTACACTGAATCTACTTATTGATATGCTAGGGCAGCGGTCTCCAACCTTTTTGGCACCAGGGACCGGTTTCACGGAAGACAATTTTTCCATGAATGGGGGGCGGATTGTTCAGGCGGTAATGCAAGCGACGGGGCGGATGGTTCAGACAGTAATGGGAATGATGGGGAGCAGCAGATGAAGCTTCGCTTGCTGGCCCACTGCTCACCACCTGCTGTGTGGCCCAGTTCCCCAGGGGTTGGGGACGCCTGTGTTAGGGTTTTGGGGTTTTGGTTTTTGTTTTTACTTTTGGCTGCATTGGGTCTTCATTGCTGCACGCAGGCTTTCTCTAGTTGCGGCAAGCGGGGGCTACTCTTCACTGCAGTGCGCGGGCTTCTCATTGCAGTGGCTTCTCGTTGCGGAGCATGGGCTCTAGGCGCACTGGCTTCAGTAGTTGTGGCACGTGGGCTCAGTAGTTGTGGCTCACAGGCTCTAGAGCGCAGGCTCAGTAGCTGTGGAGCGTGGGCTTAGTTGCTGCGCGGCATGTGGGATCTTCCAGTACCAGGTTTCGAACCCATGTCCCCTGCATTGGCAGGTGGATTCCTAACCACTGCACCACCAGGGAAGCCCCTATAATTGTTTTAAATAGTACCTCTACACATATTCAGAGCCACAACTCACAATATTTTAATTTTTGCTTCAACCATTATGTAAGAAACTCAAGAGAAGGAAACTCTATTGTATTTATCCATACTTTTGCTTACCATGTTATTTTTTTCCTTTCTGATGTTTCCAAGTTCCTTCTTTTATCATTTCCTTTCTGTTAAGAGAACTTCCTTCAGTCATTCTTTTAGGGTAGGTCAGTTGGCCACAAATTTTCCTAGTTTTCCTTCATCTGAGAATGTCTTGATTTTTCCCTTCATTCTCAAAGGCTATTTTCACTGGATTCTGGGTAGACAGTCCTTTTCTTTCGGCACTTGAAAAATGTGCCACTTCCTTCCGGTCTCCCTGGTTTCGGTTTCTGATGAGAAATCTGGTGTAATTGAAATTGTTTTTCTCCTGTAGGTAAGGTATCATCTCTTACTTGCTGCTCTCAAGAATTTTTGTCTTTAGTGTTCAGAAGTTTGACTACAATGTGTCTGGTGTGGATTTCTTTGGGTTTATGTTTGGAGTTCACTCAAATTTTTCTTTTCTTTTTAAATGTTAATTACTATTTATTAGACAACAGCTGTATACCAGCCATTGTGCTGGGCATTTTATGTACACTATTGCTAATCCCACCCACAAACTTGGGAGTTAGGTGTCTGTTAGGTTAAACCATGTGAGACTGTCATGGCTTCATTAAACTTCTTTAATCTGTAGGTTTGTGGCTTTTGCCAAATTCAGAATGTTTAAACCATTATTTCTTTGGTCACTTTTTCAGCCCGTCCTCTCCCCTCTCCTTCTGAGACTCCCATGACACAAATGTTAGATCTTCTGTTATATCCCCACAGGTCCCTAAGGCTCTGTTTTGTTTTTTGTTTTTTTTTTCAGTCTGTTTTCTCTCTGCTTTTCAGACAAGGTTAATTTCTATTGTTCTCCCAGTTCCCTGATTCTTTCCTCTGTCCCCTCCATTCTGCTGTTGGACCCATCCACTGAGCTTTTAATTTCACTGTAATTTTACTGTATTTTTCAGTCCTAAAATTCCCATCTAGTTCTTCTTTATATCTTGTTTCTTTACTGAGAATGTTTGTGTTTTCATTTGCTTCAAACACATTCCTCATTGCTCACTAAAGCACTGTTATGATGTCTGCTTTAAAATCTTTGTCAAATAATTTTAACTTATCTGTCATTGTCTGTTTGGGCATCTACTGATTGTCTTCCTTCATTTAGTTTGAGATCTTCCTGGTTCTTGGAATGATGAGTGATTTTTCAGTTGAAGCCTGGACATTTTGGAAATTATGAGACTCTGGATCTTACTGAAATCTCCTATTTTAGCCAGATTACACTGAAACAATTCCAGCAGAGGAAGGTGTGGGCCACTGCCTCGATACTGCTAAATGGAGGTAGAAGTTCAGGTTCTCACCCAGCTTCTGGTGTCACCCAAGGGAGGGTCCACCTTGTTACTACGGAGGGGAGGTAGGAGTCTCAGCTTCCCACTAGGTCTCCACAGATACCTCCTTGGCTGGGAGGAGTAGGAATGCCTCATTACTGCCCCCTACATGGCCTTCACTGACACCACAGGGAAGGGTGGCTTTGTTACCACTGGGTGATAAAGTTCTAATCTGTCACTTGGTCTTCTCTGACACCACCCAGCAGGGACAGGGAGGGGCACCTTGTCACTGCCAGATGGGGTTTTAAGTACAGGCTCCTCACATGGTCTCCACTGACACTACTGGTGGGGGGGAAGGGGAGTGATTGTTACTGCTGGGTGGCTCCCTACTCAGCCTTTTCTGACACTACTCTGGCAATGCTGGTGGGGGACAGGGTTAGGGTGCCTTGTTACAACCTGGCAAGGGTGGAAGTCCAGGCTTCCCTCTTGAACTTTTGCTGGCTTGGGTGGAGGTGAGGGTTCCATAGTTTTTCTCCATGGTGTTTGGCTGGGGTAAAGCACTTATTCTCTAAGTTTTATCTGGCTAGATTGTCCATTTCCCAGTCCTTTGGCTAGAGAGCAGCTTTTCTTGTTTTGTTTGTTTGTTTGTTTTTCATCTCTGCTCATGCTCATTGGTGCTTTCAGGTTGCTGGCTTCTTCAGCTAGATGCATGAGGCAAAAGAAAATCCAGGGAATTCAGCACCATGTCATGCCTTGGGTCCTAAGGTCTCTAGCTGTTCTGCTTGTTTTATATATTATGTTCAGAGATTTTAGTTGTACTTAACTAAAGGAATAGGGAAGAGTATGTCTATTCCATCTTCCCAGAAGTCAGTCTCCAAATATACTTATATTCTGTTTTTGATCATTTCAATATCCTGAAACCTTAGGGATGTAAATTTGTTTTTTCTGTTCTCATTCATAGTGTATCATTTTCCTTATTATTGTCTTTTAAATTTTTAAGTGGAAAACCTGAGAACCTGAATTAGGATCGCTTTCTTCAGAGAGGATTTGCATCTATCTCTGCTGGGAGCCACCAGGCTTACTAACTGGGGACTGTTTTAGTTCTCTTCAAGGGTCCTGGTTTCATACAGAATTCTCAGGTTCAGTTTTCCTGTCCTGCAAGGGTTAGTCATCTAATTCTGGGGCCATTATTGGCAAGGATATCTGGGCCATTTGTTTACCATTACTGTCTAGCCTTTAGCTCACTTTATCTTCTTTCTTTTTGTGGGAGAGGGGCTGGTACAACTTCAAGATTTTCCTTATTTTCTTTCAAGCCCAGAAATGCTTTTCAAAAACTATGTTTGCTATAGTATATCCAGGAGCTGGTTGTATTGTGGTTAGAGGGCCAAAATCACTGGTAGAAATGGAAATTCCTTACATATGACATTCGCTAGTACTACCTGGAAAACAACCGGAAAAATAGTCATGATTAACAGATTTTTGTTAAAAGGCCAGACATGAAGATTTTATTGTTAATGTTTTAAATTCCTTAATGAAAGCTGTCATTTTAGGTAGGAGAGACAGATTTTTAGAATAATATGCAATTTTTAGTACCTACAGCACAACTGAGCCTGGCTTACTATATTACCATAACTGTGTTCTGGGTCACAGACAAACTTGGTCTTTTGGGGAGGAGTTAACAACTATCGAAAACTGGAATACTGGAGGGTATACTTGAAACAGTGAGGTGTAACAGCTATGAAACATGGTCAAACCTGTAGTCTATGGCTCAGCCTCACTACAGAATTGCAGCTGTAGCTGAAAAGTGCTTTGGTCCTTCTTCCCAAGAGTAAAAACCAAATCTTTGTTTTATGCTCCTGTGGCTTGTTCCCTCTCATTCTAATAACCTGTTTGGAAGGTCCAGCTCACTGCATTCCACAGAGACATAAGAGAATTTTTGATAACCAGTGTTGTTTTATTCATGACTCTTCTTTCTTCCACTTATTCAGTAAGTAAATTTAAGAAGGTGACCATTTCTTGGTAAGCCAAGAATCAAATTTCAGCTTCCGGGAGACACATTTCCCTCATAATCGTGACCCTTCTACTTTAAAATCTTGTTCCAAGGATAGCTCTGTACAAACTTAATTCTTCAGTAAGAACAATAATGATTGCTAGTACTTATTATATGCCAGGCTCTGTTCTAAGCTTATATATATATATATATATATATATATATATACTCCTCAAAACAATCCTAAGACATAGATATTCGGGCTGTCCTCAGTCTGCAGGCAAGGAAGCTGAGGCACAGTCATATAATGCAAAGTTTCCCAGCTAGAAAGTGCTGGAACTGACAGTCAATCCTCGGCTCTCTGGTTCCAGAGTCTGTGCAATTATCCTTTAGTATAGATTGGCTATAGACCAAGACCAGATCCAGTATGTGTGATGATGTGAGTCTCTCTAACAAAATGAAATGTGGTATTTTAGTAGGGACTATAGGTGAAACCACAAATACATTTATTCCTCTAAGAACAGTATGCCATCTTTGAAATTTTGAAGTTGTTATAATCGATTGCTTCTGCAGTTTGCTTGCTCTTAGTAAGCTGACTAAGAAAAAATCCCAGAGCAGAGTGATTTACCAGCACCATCCTTGAGTTGCAAATCTACCCTTTATCACAGAGCAAAAATACACTTCAGATCAACTCAATAAAATAACTTTAAGGGTTCACAGAAGGAATACTCACATCTACTTGTCATGCATTCCAATGCCGCAAGGCCCCCTTTTCAATCGTCTAACTCCTATCCTGGCCTTTTTATAGCCTGAAAACAAGGAATCACCCAAGTGAGATACCCCTTCAGGACACTGTTGAAAATATATTAAACAGAGAGATATCCCAGATCCCTGTTCTAAATGTTAAAAATGTATTAGCATATAGAGAAAATATCTGTAGACGTATTCTATTAGGTTCTAATGAGTTTTTGCTTCCCCCTTTTTGATAATGTCTTCAATTTCTTCTGAGACCTTTCCTTTGTAGTCATTTGGTTCTATTGCGTTTAACTTCTTTTGATAGTCCGGTGGCAAACCATTCTCTTTTGCACCCAGGCAAATGACCTAGAAATGGTTAAAATAAACAAAAAACCCTTTAGTTAGGAACATAATTTAATTTAGTATACCACAGCTTTATTTGTAGTATCAAAGTATGAAATATTAGCTTTCAGATAACTCTGGAATAAACAATTCTAGAACAAAATGGAGGGAAAGTCATTCCACTCACAATGGGCATGAATGTGCAGGGAGTTTTCAAAGCCACAAGATCCACCCTTATGGAAGAGCAATTGTACTCAGTAATATGATTTTAAATGTTTTTATATTAAGAGAAAAACTTATTGTACAGAATTTGCATGATTTTTTAAGAAACAAACACCATTCTCCAAAAAAATTTCCAGTTTACAGGTAGCAGTTGTAGTTGAATCCTGGAGTCTACTCTACCTCTGAATTAGACGTGAGGGAATAAATAGCAAGTGTGTCCAGTGGTACTTCCCAGATCCATACCAGGCTTAATTCCTCTAGGTTCCTTCTAGAAAATTCCAGATTAGGCCCAGGAACTGGGTCACCCTCTCCAGGTATCATGTCCTGACTGGGCCTGCCAACAGGTACCTAAGTTTGGGTTTCTGAAAAGGGATGTTGGACTCTCTATCCTGAATTCTTTTCTGGTGCTTGAGGGAGTGGTATCCCTGATTCTGAAAAGCAGTGTGACTTATTTTTCCCTCCATCTGGAAATGGAAAACATTTCAGCAGTAGGAAATATATTTTTTACCTACAAAAATGAATCTTGGTGTTCATGAAATACTGTTTTATGGAGGAAGAAAAAAATGATTATAAAAGCATGGGTATAGAATAACTCTACAAAAAATACACTCATACATGTTATTTTCTACTTTAAAAAAGTAAAAAACATGTCTAGAATTATGACTCAAATACATTTCTACAAGCTTTTTTTTTAATAAATGAAGTTTTAGGGACATATTTCTATCATTATAAATAAATCTGAACATTTAGTTATTTGGTAAATAAATATCATTTTTGTATTAAAAAAACATTTTGATTAAAATGAATTGTACATGTAGAATTTAAAACACACAAAATCTTTTAAAAACAAGATATTCTTTAGTTTAGCTCAGTGAAAATTAACAAGGAATCACCAAAAGTCTTTGTAAGTAGTTAGTTAAAAGGATACCTTTTTATACTGGGGTGATGGGGGAACACGCTCATAATTTGTCATCTGATAACTTCGACAGGTTATTTCTTTTCCTTCTTGAGTAGAAACATTAACTTCTATTGGGACATACATTCCACTTTTAACCCCTTCTTGCCTGAAACCAGAACAGTCAAATTTTAATCATACTTGACTTAGCCAAGTTAGTTTACCAGATTAAAAATTTTAACTATTTATGGATGTACTTGCTCCCTGTATATTTTGGGATAGAGCAGAAATATCACCACATCAAAAGGAAGTTTAGCCTTTCAGTTAGAAAGCTGGAGACTTACTATTACTGGGTATGCTTCTAATAGACCTCTATATTTAGCCTATCTAAAAACATGCTTCAGTGTAGTTATTTCAAGCTTTGTAACACTGAAACATTGCTCTCTAGGCTACAAAAACGACTATGTGTGCTGACAGCAAGAGAATATCCACCCAGAGAAAAGCAGAGAGGATGGCTCATTCCTGTTTGCAAGTGAAGTAAAGTATGAAGCATGTCAGATGCTTGTCTGCTCTTCTCAAATCCTACTCTTCACTGCCACTTTCTTTGCATTAAATGCTCTGCCACACAACTCTTGAGTTCTATTTATAAAGAGCATCAAAGCATTTCTAATATGTTTTGAAGTTTTTACAGGTGATTATTACTGTTTTTACTGATTCAACTGCCACCTTAAAGAATTACTTTTTAAAAACTAATAAAAACTGAGCTTTTGAAATCAATAAAAGTATACAACAATTACAAAAATCTTCATGCCTTCTCACAATATGAAACTACAAAGATATTTTATTAAAAAACAAATAGAATGAAAATAAGGACATCCATCAATTATAGAAGAGATTACAAATGTCTCCCCAAATCTCAATCAGAGAGTGTGACCCTTCTAGGCTTTTCTTTTTAGGAATGAACATTACACCTTTTAGGTTAACTCTAAAGTATAAAGAATATGTCCATAGTATATAGTTTTGAAAAACCAACACATATATACACATCCTTGCATATGATCCACTTTCTAAATTAGTAATTATTTAACTTTTAATTAGAAGTCACCTACTTATCTAGAGAACTTAAATTGCTTTTGTTCATTTTCCATACTACTCCCCATACTTCATCGCCAGGACTTTCAAAAATGGTGGCTATACCTCCATGCCAAGTTTCACTAGTTTTGCCTTGGGGATTGCCAAAGTCAAGCTTAAAATCCTACAAAGGAAACCAAAGTGATATGATCAGTATCCACGTGAACCAAAATTTCCTTCTTCAAAATAAAAAAAGATTTACCTTGAACTCCATGCAACTAAAACAAACTTTGAGTTCCTTCTGTTAAAAATACAAAGATAAACAACCAAGGACCCAGATCTCAAGGACTATAATTTTTCATATTTTTCTTTAAAAATGAACTGTATACTGAATATGTACACATATCTTACCATAAACAAGAGGCTTAAAAGGGAAAATAAATCCCACAATCCTGAGGCCTTAACACAGCTATCTTTATTTTTGAAAACTACTTCCCAGCCCACTTACATACACATAGATTTTAACTTAGAGACAATCATAGTGTACATAATTGTTGAAGCTGGGTGATGGCTACCTAAGGGTTATAACATTCTTCCCACTTTTATGTATGTAAGTGTATCCTAGTAGCATTATTTTTTTTGTCCTAAGGGAGCTGGCATTTGAGGGTGATCTGTACACTTATAAATTTAATATTCCTGAATTGTATTAACATACCTATAATAATCATAAGAGCAGCTAACACTTACTGGAAAATTACTGGGTTCTATACACTGTGCTATGAGTTTTATATGGACTTTTTTTTAAATCCTGTCAACAACTTTTTATACCCATTTAACAGAAAGAAAAACTGTGGCTTAAAAAGATTAAGCAACTTGCCTAAGGTCTCACAACTAATAAGTAATGGAGTCAAGGTTTCGAGTTTAGTTTCCTCCCTCACAGAGATGAGTAATCAAAGGACACAGCCAGGAAGATTAAAAATCCTTACTTGGCTGTTTGGTCTAAGAAGATTTCTTTCCATCTTTCCAGAGCTTAGCTTCCTTACTGATAAAAAAAAAAAAAAGGTTAGACTAGATAATAAATCTAAGGTTTATATTTTATCTCTGTCACCTTTATTTTCTTAAAAACCTGTCAGAATTTCACAAAAAAGGTCGGTTTGAGTGACCCATACCTTCAATTGGTATACTGGATGTTCTAGGACCAGGTATGCCTGGCAGGACATCAGGGGATCTGATAAAAGTTACAACCACACTAGGAACTGGTTGTCTATTGTTAAATCCAATAGACAATTTTCATTCCTTGTCTTGCTCTACTTCTCAGCTGCTTCTGACATCATTAACCACCAGGTCTTGATCTGTCTCCTTTCTTTTAGGCTGTTCCTTGATCTCCTCAATCCCCTTTGCCAACTCCTTCTCCACTGCCTGGTCTTTAAATGTTGGAGTTTCTGAGGGCTCAGTTTAGGCCCTTTTCTCTGTTCAGCAATTTGCTCAGGACAATCTCATCCCCTCCAATGGCTTCAAATACCATCCAATATTCCAGTCGTCTTCTAATCCAGCTCAGATCTCTCCTCTGAGCTTCAAAAGTGCTTAGAATATAGTGAGTTTTTAATGAATGTTCACTAATATTTTTCTGCTCACTTGGATATACAACAAGCATCTCAAACTCAGTACAGCTAACCCTTGAATAACACAGGTTTGAACTACACAGGTGAATTTTTTATGTGAATTTTTTTCACATATGTGAAATTTTTTCAATAAATATAGCATATGTGAATTTTTTTCAATAAATATAGCATCTATATTTTCCTTTTACATATCATCAAATTAACTAAGTATGGGGAAAAGTTCGAGTAGAGATTAAAATAGAGAATATGTGGCATCAAAAGAACTAGGGTCTGAGTCCTGATTCTATCCAAACTTTTTCAGCTTCCTGCCCTTGGGTGAGTCATGTATCAATTCCTTTGTTTTTGAGGTAGAGATGGCAGTTCTGATTTTCGGCTGGGTGAAGGGTCGGCACCACTAATCCCGGCATTGTTTAAGGGCCAAATACATGTCCAAACTGAGCTTGATTTTCCCTCCCAAACTAATTCTCCTCTTCTTTTCACAAACATCACCATCATCTACTCTGTTGCGTCAAAAACCTTAGTCATCCCGATTATCTCCTCTTCCTTTCACAATCAATCACCAAGGCCTAACAGTACTCACTCCTAAATATCTCCCAAACCCAGCTACCCTCCACTGCTACCACTGCAGGGTACCATTATCTTTAGCATGGACTGCTGCAAAAGCTTCCTAACCGGGCTCCCTACATCCACTGCTTCCAATCCATTTTTCCAGAGCAACCAGAACCAGCTTTCAAAGATGTAAATCTGATGTTTCATTTGCTTCAATTTGGCAGAGGTCCTCTCATTGGTCTCAAGATAAAGACCCAAGGCTTCTCTGGCCTCTGTGGTCCTGTAAAGTGTGGCCCTTCCCGACCTCTCTAGTCTTCATGCTACACCCTCCTCACACACTAGATTCCAGCCACACTAGCTGGAAGGTCCAGCTTTTTTCTTTCCTGAGGTCTTTTGTCCCTGCTGTTCATTCTATCTGTTTGCTTCCCCCCTCCCCAGTCATTCAGGTCTCAGTTTAAAAGTCACATTTTCAGGAATGGCTTTACTGAGCATCCCGGTTAGGTCAGGTCCCCAAGTCATACACTTCCATAGCACCTTGAATGTCTCCTTTAAAAAAAAAAAAAAGATTTCACTTTTTTTAAGAGCAGTTTTAAGTTCAGAACAAAGCAGAGAGTAAGGCATAATATATCTCCTTTTAAGGCTGACCACACCTGTGACGGAATAATCATTTGCTTGATAGCTCTTTGCTGCATTCCAATTATAAACCATCTGAACTTCTTTCCCACGTTTGGGGAATTCCCTGCCTTATGAGTTTGGGGGTAGACAGTGTTCAGAGCCTGACTCCCATTTTTGAAGTTTCAAATGCCAGAAGTTGGTTCTCCCAGCTTTTCTTGAAGTCAGGGCATGGGCACGTGGCCAAGACGTAGCCAATCAGGACACCCACTTAGGGCTTTGAATTAGAAACTAGTGACCCAGGGCAGCAGAAAGGTCCACCTTGGTGGTGGCAACCAGATTTGGGTTTCAGGAACTTGGAGATGTAGTGACAGTAGCAGGCAGGGTCCAGCGCAGGTGATGCACAATGCAACGTCCATGTTTACCAAGCTTAGCGGCGATGCAGCAGTGGCCTCCTGGGCTGGTTCTGTTGGTGTGATACTGGCTGTTTTAGAGCTTCCCTTTTATGCCTGCTTGTTTTGTCAGCTTTGTGGTCCTACCTTCCTGGTCATTCTGTGAGCTCTTCAAACGGCCTTTCAACACATTCTTTTTCTGCTTGAATCAGCCACTTCTGTTGCTTGCTACTAAGAACCCTGACAACGATAGCAGAGACCATGTTTGTTTGGTTCAACAATGTCAAAAGGCTTTGTACATAACTTGTTCGAGTGTCTCTCCTATAGACTGGGAGGTCCTGAAAGCAGCCAGCTTTACTCAATCATCTTTGTATCTCCAGGTAAGTGCTGGAAGAATACGCACTAAATGAATAAATGGACTGTACTAAGAGCAATGATTCTTACCAAGGCAAGCGAAGGTTCATCCAGCCACTTGATTTAACTGAGCACAGCCCTTACTGTGAATAAGAAACGGCTCCAGCTTTCAGGACCTCTCAGATCGGGAGCAAAAGGCAGGTAAATGGATTTTTACAAAACCAGGTGACAAGTCCTGGAGCAAAGTGGGATACAGAACAGAAAGCAACTGATTCCCTAACTTGGGTGAGAGAAGGCTTCTCAGAGGGACCAACCGAATGGATTCTGTGATGATGCCCCTAAATCAGTGACCAAGGGAGAGGCGCTGGGATCTGGGCAGAACGCGCAGCTGGTGAGAACGTCAGGAGAGAGACCTCAGGGTAGCCTGGGAGGCACAGGTGCCAGAGTAGCACAGCTCAGCGGGGGTCAAGCACAGGGCTGAGGGCGAGAGCGACCGGCCCGAGGTCGTGCAAGGAACCCTGATGTACTTTGAGCAGAAAGAGCTGCATTCCCGGCCCAGTGCTGCCAACAAGCGGCGAAGAGAAAGCGAGTTCTCGAAATCCTGGTTCCCTCGTCTGCAGAGGGGGGCAGAGGCCATCGCAGGGGCCGGGAGGAGAGCACTGACCTGCAGGCGGGCCACGCTGCAGAACACGGCCGAGGGGTTTCGGAGGTGGATCCGCTCCGTCAGCAGGTTGCTGCCATAGGCGAAGTAGAGAAAATTCTCCCCTTCCTGGCTCCGGAGGTCCTCGCCGCCCGAGTTCGCCATGTCCCACCGGACCCCTGCACGGACCTGGGATCTGTAGCAGGAGAGTGAGGCGAGGACGAGCATAGCGCGGTGGCCGACGACCCCAGTCCAGGAAGCGCTGCGCCGCGCTGCCTTAGAGCTTAGGGGAAAGGCGGGAAGCCGGGGCCGGGCGAGTCATCTGCGACCACTCTTCTGAATGGCTGCCAGTACCCAACGCTGTGAGTTGCTCCCTCTGATTGGCTAGCCCACCGCCTCCTCTCCGCTCGCTGCTTGGACTTTGCAATACTCTGCCCTGAGGCGACCCAGGGCTGATTCCACATTGGACCCGCTCCTCTGTTGTCCCGCCCCCGTGTTCAAGGCTCCCTCTGATTGGCTCCCTCTTCGCGGGGGCGGGTCAGGTCCCCCATTTGTGGGTCGTAGCTCGCCGGACCTGGCCAGATTTTCTTACCTTTGGGTGCTTCCTGCGTGGTTCAGTGGCTGTGTGTGCTCTTTAGGGAATTTTTGGTCCATTTAAGATGAAACAACAGCTCTGGCCATGCTCCCCACGGTCCATAACCCAGCAGGTCGTCCCTGTCCCGCTCTCTGCTTTTGGAGTCGGGACATATATTTACCCCCACACGCTGGTACCCGCACCCCTAGCCCTGATCACCTCCCTGATACCTTTTCTAAGGACGCTTGGCTTCCTGGAAAAGCTCCTCTGAGTGTCAGGGGCTCCCGTCCCTGGTGGAAGTAGCGTGCAGCGTTCTAATCACGACGCTTGCTGTTTACTTGGAAGCCTAACCTCCGGCACTTCTGTCTCTGGTTCCTCCTTTTTTTTTTTTGGTTTTCTTTTTAAACATCTTTATTGGAGTATACTTGCTTTACAACGTTGTGTTAGTTGCTGCTGTATAACAAAGTGAATCAGCTATACGTGTACATATATCCCCATATCTCCTCCCTCTTACATATCCCTCCCTACCACCCTCCCTATCCCACCCCTCTAAGTGGTCACAAAACACCCAGCTGATCTCCCTGTGCCATACGGCTGCTTCCCACTAGCTAGCTGTTTTACATTTAGTAGTGTATATATGTCCATGCCACTCCCTCACTTCGTCCCAGCTTACCTTTCCCCCTCCCCGTGTCCTCAAGTCTGTTCTCTACGTCTGTGTCTTTATTCCGGTCCTGCCCCTAGGTTCTTCAGACCATTTTTAGATTCCATATATGTGTTAGCATACAGTATTTGTTTTTCTCTTTCTGACTTACTTTACTCTGTATGACAGTCTCTAGGTCCATCCACCTCATTACAAATAACTCAATTTCGTTTCTTGTTATATCTGAGTAACAGTCCATTGTATGTATGTGCCACATCTTCTTTATCCATTCATCTGTCGATGGACACTTAGGTTGCTTCCATGTCCTGGCTATTGTAAATAGAGCTGCAATGATCTGGTTCCTCCTTTAAAATAGAGATTATAAGATGTTATGATCACAATTACATAAGTTATGATCACCTATCTCCTAGGGTTGGTGTAAATATTAAAAGTAACTTTGTTAATGTTATTAGGTGCAAAAGCTCCAGTGTAAAGATATAGAAGTATTGTATAATAACAATGACATAAAAACTCTATATTGTTAACTTTGAAATGAAAATATTAATATGAACTCAGGACCTAGGAGCAATGACTATCCTTGGCACCCAGATTTTGATCTCTAAATACCACTTTTCCACTAAAAGGTACCAGGGCTCCTTGGAGAAATGGCTGATGTCAGTCGGGTCAAGAGCTGAGAAATAATAGGAGCACTTAGAACATCATGTGAGAGAAAGTCAGGAGGTATTAAAAAACAAGGTCCTTTGAAAAGAACACAGAAGCTAGCTTGAAGGAATGCCCACTGGCCAAAGTTAGAACAATTTGAGCATCAAAATTAATAACCGCAATTTATTTAAAATGTCAAACATAAAATTCATTTCCACTAAAGTGTAAAGCAAATCTAAAAAAACAACAGTTTTAAAAAACTTCCTTTGCCATACTACTGGCAGTGACTATTACACCAACTCTTTACTCTGAAAAGTGGTAATTTAAGAAAATTACCATTTATCCTGCTTTTCTAGCTGCAGCTGTATTTCAGGGTAACCAAATGGCCCCAGTTGATGAGGAAACAGTTCTCTTTACAAAAACATGCCAGCTAAATAATGTAAAATGAAGGATAGAATTAGAAATTCACCATTTTGCAGTCCCTAGTGGAATAATTGATTCATGCCAGGATCATCAATGTGACCAATTGGTGAGAGTGAGATAGGGAACAGGATATTCACATAGAGCCAGGGATTATGTGCCAATCATCAGGGAAATCCATAATGACAATGGAGAAATCTGGCCACTTCCCACCTTAACCTAGATCAATCTTATCAGTAAAATGGACCAACCTGACATTATGTGTCTCCTGATGTGATACAGTATGAAGCACCAGCATCATTTGAGAAGTATTTTTTCCAAAAATCTTTAACCTCAGTATAATCAAGCAGAAACTACAAGGATAGAAGTAGACAATCAGAAAAATCCAGAACAAATGGTGAGACATCCTGCAGAACAAATGGCTCAATTTCTTAAATTAACACAGTGCCATAAAAAAAAAAAAAGAAAGAAAGAAAGAAGAAATGAAATAAAGCAGTACTAAGGGAGGGCTGTTTTAGATTAAAAGAAACCTAAGAAACGTCATAACCAAATACAATGGCTTGTCCTCGGTTCTGATTTAATAAACCAGATATAAAAGATATTTTGTGAGCAATTGGAGAATCTGAATACAGACTAAAACATTAGATGATATTAGACAGTTTTTTTTATTAGGTATGATAATGGCATTGTGCATATGTAGAAAAATATCTCTTTTTAGATACACATATTGGTGTATTTAGGGGTAAAATGTTTGCTATCTATACTTTTAAATAATTCAGAAAAATTAAAATATGGAAAGTGTTAAATGTGAAACTGAGTACATATATGGATGCTTGTTTTATTATTCTTTTCTATATATTTGAATATTTTCATGTTAAAAATTCAAAAAAGAAAAATGGTGATATAGGTAAAGCACTTGACATAGTGAGCATTCAATAATAAATTTGTTTTTATATAATCTGCAAATAGGAAGGTTCATACCTTCTCCTGCCCCCCAAACATTAAGGCAGAACTTGACATACATATTTGGTCATTTCAGTAAGCAAGTTGCCTTCCTTGACAAGATAGCCCTCTATTGCACCATGAATTCCCAAGGTCTCTGCTTCGGAGCACTACCATTTAAAACATGTGTCTGTGTTTTAAACTGCTTTCAACATTTAAAATGTATTTATTATTTAATTAATTATTTTTAAGGTATTTTAATTCTTTTCTCTTCCTACACTTCTCACTAATTGCTTAATTTTATGGTGACTGATTTTTCTCAACACTATTCTGTGAAAATTTTCTGAAGTTAAACAATGATGTTTCCTCAGACACGGAAAATCTTTTCTTACCCCAGTGAAGCATTTTATTTAGCTTCCCCATGTTGGTTGCCATGTACTGACCCCTGTTGGCCAAAAAGAGTCAGTAGGTAACAAGGGGTTTTGTCTTTTCAAATTTAACCAAAATAGATAACCAACAAGGAGCCACTGTATAGCACAGAGAACTATACTCAATATTTTGTAATAACCTATAAGGGAAAAGAATCTGAAAAAGAATAGATATATATGTATGTATAACTGAATCACTTTGCTGAACACCTGAAACTAACACAACATTGTAAATCAACTATACTTCAATAAATATTTTTTTAATTTTAAAATTAAGAAAAGTTTTTAAACTTTTTTAAGAAAGCAAAGCACACTTAGGAAAAAAAGAACAAATTTAACCAAAGCCTGGTTAATATTAGTTGACATTCATTGAGTGCTTATTAAATGCCAGTCTAAACTCTTACATATATTAGTTCATTTAATCCTGAAAGTGGTCCTATGCAGAAATTACTAATATATCCTCATTTTACAGTTGAGGAAACATATGTGCAGTAGGTCAACTAACCTTCCCCAGGCTGTAGTTAGCGATGACTGAAGCAGAGATTAAGCAATCTGATTCTAAAGTCATCATTGGGTGTTGCTTCCCAAATTTCTCATATTGTAAAGCCCTCATGGTCTAGATATAACTGGTTATTAATAGCTCGCTTTCAAGTACAATCTCTATCATATCTATAAGGACACTATGAAATAATAGTACTAGCATTCAATTACTTGATAATAAAGGTAATGAGGTCAGATTTCTTCTAAATGCCATCTTTTAATCCAGTGGACTTAAAGTTTTTGGTTGTATCATTAAAATTTTTGAGCACATATTCTCTCTATATAATAATATATATATAACTATATATATGATATAATATCCACAAAATAGAAATTTAATCTGGACTCTGCTTTTCTGTGGAGATGGGTTAAGGGTGCGAATCACATGAAGACAGCACAGACGTGGGTTTGGGGAGTGGTGAGTAGTTCAATTTCAATAGAGCAATGGATTTATATCAGGAAATGGGAGACAAGTCTGGAAGGAGATTAGCATAGTTGATGGGAGGGCCTTGAATTTTCACTCAGAAGTTCATACTATTTGGTGGTCAAAGGGGAGACTTTTTTTTACTTTTGAGCCCTCTCCTGCACCTTTGGAAACTCCCTTCTTGTGGCTGTGTGTAGGATGGCCTGGGAGTGGGTAGGATGGGGAGATGGCTGAGTGCTGGATGTAAGTTCACTGCAGTAGGCAAGCTCATGAAAGCCTGAACAGGGGCAGTAATTATGGAGGGGAAATGAAGGGATGCAAGGGGGTAAAGACATAGTCTTTTAATTTTTTTAAAAAAATTTTTATTGTATCACTCCTTTGAGTAGAAACCTTCAGAGGCTGCCTGCTATTTATCATTTTATCAAGTTCAAGCCCTTGTGCAAGTCTTTATTATCTGATTCCATTCTGTCTGGCTGGTCTGATTTCTCAGGTGATAGTAAACCCACTGGAGGTGGGGACCACACTTTATATTTCTGTATACCTACAATGCTTACTACAGCAGAGATGAATAGTAAATACTTGCTGATTAATTGAACCAGAGTCAGAATCTCCCCTACCCTTTGCACAGGCTCCCAAATCTTTTTTTCTCTTTGATTTTTTCCAGCTTTCCTTGATTTACTGAGAGGCACTTCAGCTCTGAGTTATTTTAAAATTTATACTAATGCTCTAACATATGGGATCCTGTGTAAATTTTATTAGCCATAGTAGTATTTATGTCTCCTCCCAGCTTATGGTCTGGCATATGACAGGGAAACATGTCAGAATATGTTAGACCCAAAATGTTTTTTTGGTTGTTTTTTTGTTTTGTTTTTTACTTTTTGGCTGCACCTCGCAGCATGTGGGATCTTAGTTCCCTGACCAGGGATCGAACTCTCACCCTCTGCAGTGGAAGCTCAGAGTCCTAACTGCTGGACCGCCAGGGAAGTCCCCAAAATGTTTTTTTTTTGGGAAAAAAAGAATAGTAAAACTCCAGGAGGCAGTAATTTCTCAGTAATTTGATAAATTTGATAGTTAATCTGTATTCTTGTTTTGAGATTAACCCTGAAAAGTAGTTCCAATAAAGTTTATTATTTAGTGCTTGGGTAAATGGTCTCTTTTGATATCTATCTCTATGTCTATTTATATCTATAACAATACACTTTGGAAAGGCATCCACCAAACTGTTAACGGTGCTTACCTGTGGGAAGGGAAATGACACTGGGAGGGGAGCAAGTTGAACAAAAAGCTTTCATCTTTTCATTCTGTATTTTTATTTTTTTGCATGTTTCAGCATGTATTCTTGTATTTCTTTTATTATTTAAAAATACATATATTATTAATATTATTAAATTCACATCTTATGTAATTTTAGGTCAATATCTAGAGATCTCATGTCACAAGGATAAAAAGAGGGTAATGACTAAATAAATTGCCTAAACAGAAAATTGATGCAGCAAATACATTTCCAAGTTGGCCTACCTCTCAACACATCAATCAGATAATTAGGTCAGATCAACTCAACCTTGCTCTATGGAAGGATATGATCTCATTCTGCAGGCCCCAAAGCTGTAGAATCTTACGATGCCTATCTGGATGTTCCCTCTTTGCTCTTTGAGATGTCAGCGGATACAAGAACATTTCCCTAATCTGGCATGGAAGAAGGTCTCACATATGTTCTAGGATAATGATCTGTTAGATCCTACTGCCAACCTTAAATCGGTTACAGAAGGTCCTGGAAATATACAGCAATTCAGCTATCTCCATGTCATTTACCACAGGTATATTAGAGCCAGAGGACCCATTCTCAAGATTTACTACTGTTAATGTTAAAGTCTGACAAACTGATCATAATATATTCATTTTCTCAGCTTATATGTCCATGTTATTTCTAACACTTTAAATTCAGCTGAAATTAAAATGTAAAAAAAAATTTTTGCTGCATGTTTTTACTGTTAATAATAGGAGTAATCTAAGTAATAACATTTTAGAATGTAGATTTACTTAAATGAAAATCCCAATGTTTCCCTTGGTGATAGACCTCATTCTTTTCTTCCTAGAAAGAAATTTAAACTCAGAAAACTCTTAATACCATGCACAGTAATTAGATGAGAGCCCAGCTTTTCTTAATGTCCCCATAAGAAGACTGACTTTGGACTGAGGCCTAGGTTAAGCATTTGGAAACATTTTTGGAAAGTGAGAACTATGCTTGGGTTCTCTGCTCCATTAATGTTCTTGGATTTCACGTTTTCAGTCTATTCAACAATATTTAATTGATAATTAACTCTTCTCAGAGACATATATGCAAGTGAAGCTGGTTTACCTGACTATAATACAACTCTGGATATTTCAAAATCTTTCCAGAAGAGCTGATCTAGTGCTGGTGTCAACCTTTTTTCTTCTTTATTATTTCTGCTTTCACATGGGACCCACACATTCCAATAATAGAGCTACCAAAAGGCATCTCTACTTATTGTCTTTGTTAAACGCTTATTGGCTGAGAAGACAACAGACACTCTATACAGCTGAGTAACACAAACTCAAATGGCTCACTGGAAACGAACGGTATTCACGGGAGAAATAGGTATGTTTTGTGTATAGAGAAGAAACTTGCTTCAGTAAGTCATTCTCTAAGCTTCCTGTGGGTAGTGCGTTTTATATGCATGTTTTCCCAATGCATAAAAACTATGTCTCAAGCTAGCTAAATCATATGAACTGTTTGATTTGCCTTATGGTGCCACAAAATTGCAGTAGCAAAATTTTATTTCCATGACCCAACAATTCCACTCCAGGGTACATACCCAAATGAATTGAAAACAGGTATTCAAATACATGAACCTTCATAGCAGTACTATTCACAATAGTCAAAAGGTGGAAACAACCCAAAGTCCATCAAGGGACAGATGGATAAACACATGGTGATATATCCATACGGTGGGAAATCATTCAGGCACTACCAGATGTAAAATAGATAGCTAGTGGG